AACGCTCTTTTCGTCCAACTTTCCTCTCCAAAGTTAGAATCATTTCTTTTTTCGTTCCTGCCACCAGTATCAGCTTTCCTGGATTTTTTTTCTGCTACGTTATCTTGCTAAAGCTAGAAGACTCGTAGAAGACTTATTCTCGGACAGTTTCCCACATTTATGTTCTTCCAAGTTGTGTGACTGTCCATTCAAAATTTGCATCACTCTACCTTTTTTACTAGGCGAAAAGATCATATAGTTCTAATGAAAAGAATATAAATTGTAAATCAAAAGTATGTTTTCCTTAGCTGATATTTCTCTCCGAAAGTCGACACCCGTTTCCCTATAGCTCGCACATGGTGCTCGTTCTTCCTGCAGATTCTCAAGCTCAACAAAATAGTCGCGCCTTGTTTCAAACCAGTCCCTAACTCGGAGAAACAGATTTCTAAAACAGCACAACGTTTCCGTGAAATGGACCGGACAGTCGTCAAAGAGCAGCTAGCTTCCATTCGTACTTTATGTTTGTCTATTCCGGACGTCCGTATAGACGGCTATTGTCGCTGAATCTGGCGTCATCTTACGCAGCAGCAACTGTATCCTTTTCCGTAATGTGCTAGTTGTATGCAATGCGAAAAGGGGAAGGGGGGGGAGGGGGGAGAAGGACGAAGACAAGGAGAAGAGAGGGAACGGGAGGGGGAGGGTATGGACGGGGGAAGTATTTCAAAAATCAAACTGAAAAGCAAAGAGTAATACAGTGAGCAAAATGCAATGAAAGTACGACAATCACGAGAACTGCATATTTTGCGCGTTCTATCTAAGAAACAGCATAGGTAATGCAGTCTAAAAATTAACATTGCTAAAGAATGGTAGTAAATTTTTTGATTATGCAAAATAGTGTTACTACCTGGTCTGTCTTCCTTGAAAAATGATTCGGTAAACGTTGTAAATGCTGACTGATTACCTGGCATAGAGGATTGTGACTTTGTGTACAATGTGTTCAGAAGATAAGAATATTTTTTTAATAAATCAGGTATTTTTTCAGCCAGAAACCTTATATGGAAACTCATACCGTATCATTCACAAAGCAAATTGCTTCTTTTCTTTCAATCAAATTGAGACCATTTAGCATGAAAAATTTAGCTTTATGTTCTTGCCTTTCTCACCAAACTTCGATGTCGAAAAAACGTTTGTTTTTTTGCATCTACATAGTTTTCCGCTGTTCAAACCTCTACTGCGCTATTTGCAGCTGTGTATTTGATCCCATGGCAACAAGTTTATGTGAAAAGGGGGATACCTCGGCGTCTGGTACTTTTCGGAAGTGCAAGTTATTTGCACCACTTAAAATCCACATGAATTTCCATTTAAACGAGCGATTTTGATATAAAAAAGTGAAAAACTTCTGCTATGAAGTCAGTCCAAAATTATGCGCCAAGTTATTTGAATTTTTTAACTTCTTTTTGACGAGACTGTTTTATTTGATGGTTTTTGGAGGATAAAGGCTGTGTAAGTCTAGCTGCTTAAAGCAAAAACTGTCGGCTAATAACGAGGTGGAAGGTGGCAAAGAAAAACCCCCAAACCTGTAAATTTTCTAGTTGGATTTGAAAACGAAATTTTGAGAATTCACATCTTCAACGATATAGCTCCTATGACGCACTCTTTCTGAGGAATAAAATTGTTAATCGAGTGTTACTATAGATGTTTGTTTGTGAATTGAAAATTTCCTAGATTGTTCGAATTGTAGTAAATCTACACGACACTCATTAAAATAAAAGTATCTCACATGTCCTCTGTTTTCGAAACCTGGGCTGTCACACAGTTTATTGTAAATAAAAATTTGTAGTAAACTTGTGTTTCAATACAAAAAAAAACAAAAAAAAAACACAACGTACGCACGAACGTTCCAATAATCTCAAACCAAACTTTCCAGAACTTTTAGTGCGGAACAAGCGCACATATCAAGTAATTTTATCCTCCGATTTTTTTATAGAACAGAACACTGATGGTAGATACTCAGAGTACCCTAGTCTCACGCGTACAAGGCGCGGGGGATTTTTTTCCAAAATCGACCAGCCCAAATATGTACGCCAAAGAACTCGCAACTAAAGGACCTTATGCCTTGCTTTATATTGCTTAAGAGAATCGTACGGCATAGGGATCGCTTTCCGAAATAATTTAAAGCGGCTGAGGGGCTTAGTCGAAAAATCGAAAAAGGTGCGCTTTGTTCGCGTGAAATTAGGGTAATTACTAATTTTTGCGGAATTTCAAATCTGATAAGAATGTGCCCCAGTCTTGTTCCTGTTATAGCCCAACAGCAGAAAGAATGTTTCATTTGTTCCTGGCAGCGTTTTATTTACATAATCACTCAGTCGAAGTGCGTGTCCGCAGTTACTTTCATATGCCAATGCACTTGTCCAGCGTTTTTTTCGTTTCTTTGGCATTCAAGCGTAGTATAAATATTGCAGAATTATTCTGTGCGCCACATGTGACATTGCAATCTCATTTTCTGAACAAATAATTTCGAAATGGTCAAGTTCATTTATTATTGATACAGTAAGATGGGGAAGAAAGCAGAAAGACCCTAAATGTAGCGCCAACCATCATTCTTGTTCTAACATCCTGTAAAAAATAAAAAGAAAAAATGTAGCACACCCCTTTAAGAATGTGAAATAAGTGCTAAAAGTGAGAAAAAAATCGAAATACAGCAATTTTAACGACAGTGCGTAATCAAAACAGATAAATCATTCTTTTTCTCAGTGGACAATGACTAGAACAAAGACAATAAAGAGGAGCCATCATGAAGCTACAAATCAGCAATGGGGAAATTACCCAATGTGCTGAATGAAACGAGATATTTTGGGGTCGATTTATTTACACAGCCTTGTCAAACCATAAATGACAACACCACTATCCCATACTATGCAAAACATTGCAAATCACTTCATTATCGAACCATAAATTTCTTCAAGTTGTAATGGATCCTATTTTCCGTCAAAATTCAGTGTACTGCACCAACTAATTTCACTACTATGCTCTTCATGTGCTTCTTTGATAGTAAAACTGTACTAAAAACAGTGCCATGTATTACTGACTATCAAAAGCGCCGTCTATTTCCAAATTTCTACCATTAAGGATGATGAAATTTTTATGATATAAAGCAGGGCCCCTGAAAAAGCACTAGTTCAAGTCTCGCTTCAAAAGAAGAACTTCAAAGCGAGAATACTTCCAGACAGTAGAAGCCGCCACCATGGCTCCGCCCATCAACGTGGGTGGTCTGAAGAACAAATCCAAGATTTGGTTTTAAGGGAGACATAAAGATCGCCAAAGTGATGATCATCATGAAAGGCAAATTTATGACAATTTTGGATACGAGACCCAATATTGAACCTGTAGTCTTCAGATCACCAAAGTTGGTGGACGGAGCCATCGTGGCCGCTTCTGCTTTAAAATTCATTTTTTGCAGCAAGACGTGAAAGAATGGTTAGTTGGGGGCCTGATATGATATAGCATCAAAATCTCATCCTCTTGATTTTTGGGTGGAGGGTGCCTCCAGGCATCCCAAGAAGGTTTCTGGAACTTCGACTTGTGTAGCAATTGTTGAATTTTGTTGTAATTGCGTACAGTAATAATATCTCGAGAAACATGCTAGTTGAAACACTACGAGAAACAAGTGTCATATAGCTGAACTATATAACAAGAAACGAAATAATCTGACCAAATTTAAAAAAAAATAATCAATGAGATTTCAGTCTCTCTGTCTGTCAAGCCAAGCTTTTCTGCAAATTTGGGCCAGATTTTAACTTCTTGTAAGATAGCATGGTTACCACTTAAAGGCCGGGCATACTTCAAGCGATTTCAATCGCGACGCGATTTGGCAATATTCCAGGTGTCCATAACTCATTGTAAGCACATTATAAAAGCACAGAAGATAGGGCATTTCATCAGTTTACGTAAGTTATACACACTATGCATGCGCAGTTTGCTAACGTTGGATCCGAAGACTTCTGGCGAATTGCCAAATCGCGTAGCGACTGCAATCGCGTGAAGTATGCCTGGCCCGTTAGGTCGTGAAGGGCAAAGGCATGACTCGGAAATATTGTTCACAAATCTAATTAATTCATTTTATAGTTAAAAAAATATTTTGCCTCATACAAATGACAAGATTTTCCATATATACAGGCGGACTTAAAAATCTCAAAGAACATTCTCGGGAGCGCAGAGGGAGGGGGGTGCTGCGGAACTGCACTCGTCTCTTTCGCTAAAATTTCCTATTTTCCCAATTTATCATAAGAAAAGGCTCTATGAATGCATGAAAAGTACTTTAGAAGAGAAAGAATATTTCCCGACATCGTGCCAATTCCGAAACAAAGTATCATTTACACTCCGGTGTTTTTGCTAAGCGTTAGCAGATAGAGAGATTTGCTTCTTCGTGTGTGTGTTGATGTTTGCACAATGACTCGCTGCGCCACTGTCCGTGTGTGTGATTGTTCCCTTGAGAAGCGCAGTAGGAGAAGTATCGCCCCCTCTCTATAGCGAGTTTAATCTCATGCGTTCAATCGTGCCGCGCTCCTCGTTCAAGTGTATTCTCCGACCTTTCGAATTGCCAAAACAGGGAGCTCAAGCTCTTTTCGCTTCGGAAGAACGTCTGCCCTGTTGTGTGTCGCTGGCGCCGTCTAATTGGACTTAGTGCCGTTGTTCAGTTGTCCTCGTTCGTATTTACGTACAACACACAGATGCACACACAGTCATCTGCGATTCATCCAATTATCCGCACATTTGAATTCCAGGCTCTCGACGTCCTCGAATCTTGGGGGCGGAGCTTGAGCCGGCGACGAGTCGCCGTGCTTGTGCCGCCCTTACCCGCCCCTTGCTCAACCTCGACCACGGCCAAGCTAACGACGGACACCGACATTTGACCCCCCCCCCTCTATTTTTGGATTCGAGGCTATTTTCAACTCTTCTAGTCACTGCGTTCAAATCTAAAGCTCTTGAAGCTATAAAAGCTTCTGTGCTGACAGCGAGCCATGTGTTCTCGAGCTCGGCTGGAGCTGTTAATTATTCTCGCTAGTGTAAATATTGGTGAGTAGTTTTTTTACAAAAATTTGAAAAAAACTCATAATAGGAGCACTACTTTTTTTGAAGTCTTCTCACGCTATCTCTGTTTATTTGAGCAAACTTGTAGCCTACTTAATTATAATATTTCCATGTATCTATAATATAATCGACATAAAGGCTTTTCATTCCGCTTTTATGATCGTAATCTGACCCTGCATGCAGAAAAACTTTGCGATAGTTTCTGCTTACCTATTTTATTTGAGCTGACTTGTAATCTATATCAACTTCTCTCCGCACCTAGAAATATTTATAGCTGTTATTTCACGGTTAACGGGTTTTCTGATTACAATGGACCCTAGGTGCGACAAAAAACCTTGGCAAACTTCCAATCAATCTTTTTCTTTCAATAATATCCAAATGCTCATGAACAGAGTGGCCAGTCGGTCCATGTATTCTACTCGAACAGAAAATTTATTCTACAATTTTGTACATTGTAGAAATATCCATTCGTCATAGCATCTATATTTTTGGAATCAGTATTTCACAATTAATAGTGCAAAACTCCCACAAAGGATCATTTCCTGCTTCTAAAAGACTCATTGCACTTAGAATTTTTTTTCGCCATTGCAATCGCAGCAAGAGAATGAAAGGATCTTTTTTCTTGCATGAAATTGAAGATACCCCATTTATGCCAGGAAATTGAAGACACTCACAATTTATTGGAGAATTTCCTATGCAAGTGCTTTCCCAGGCCAGTTCTGCACAAACTTCATCAAACTTCAAGCGATAAGAATATCCTAGGGAATTTTAGCATATTAATGTGTGGTCGAGAATGCAAAAAAAATCAATATGCAGCAATAACAAGAAAAATTTAGAAAAATTTTTCTCTTTACTCGGTAGAAATTATTATTATTACAAGAATTGGTAAGTTTTTGAATTTTGCATGACCCTGGTATCATCTGTAGAACTTTCATGCAATATAAAGTACACTAAATGAATTTCTTTTATTAGCTACAAGTCCTCTATCAGGAAAATGAAGTAAAAAATAATTTATACTCCAACAAATTCAGGTCATAAATGCTATTTTAGTCGTTTGAACATTTGTACTGCATTTTAATGTTTCATGCTCATGCTTTTGTTTTTTCTCAAAAAAAAATTGGCTCCTATTGGAAAAGTGCATTTGTTTCTTGAGTTTCCCGTTTTACCTAAACTACAAAGTCTAGATGAGCCACATTGCTTTTGTCTCAAAGATTTCCGGTTTCAACTCGGTTATAAAGACCGATGCTAAGTGCGGCAAGTGATCTGCTGTTAGCCTGACGTATTCTCGTTCTTCTCATGAAATTGACCATTTGTAGTGGGCATATATCAATTTTTTGTACTATAATTTATATTTTCAACTCACAGTAGAGAAACTTCACTTGCTAAACATTGCTAAGCAAATAGACACATGTGTAATGCAGGTAAATTTTCGCATTCTCTGACAATATATTCAAATTTCGTAACAATCTCTGCTCCTTTCCACACTTCCCCCTCCCTCCCCCCCCTCTATCCTATTTGCCATTACTCTTATTTGTCCAGCTTAGCGTAGTTTGATCCCCGTCTATGTATAAATGTTCCATGCAAATGGAAACGAGACTCGATTACGAAGTCAAACAGAGAGAGCTCATGAACATCTTCACTGAGAAGATGTAAAGCAGGAAGTTTAAAAAATTCAGTGCTGACAATGTTTGCCGAGGTTTTTTAATACTTCTCAGTCCACTTCACGAGGCTTAGAGGTCAAGTGGGAAATTTTCATGAAATATTTACTTTAGGGGGATAGGAAATAATGTAATTTTACGTTATAACGAGTTTTGATGCTTGAACAAACTAAAAAAGAATGTTTTTGTGATTTTCGAAAATAGAAAATGGCATGCAGTTGCGCGGAACATTTGCCCATAGTTTTTTATTGCTCTAAATCAACAAGGTAATTCCTCTTGAAAATAAAACCCTTTTTCTTTTCAAGCATCAACAAATCCACAGTTGACAAAGCTTAACCCATACCTGCTTCTCCTTACCTTTTTTTCTGCTTCATTTTCTTCTTTTTCTCTTCTTCGATACTCCGTTTTACATCGAATTTTCGATTTTTATTTTATTCAAAACTTCATTTTCCTATATTCACTTGTTTCTTTAAGGTGAAAGAAAGTCTTTAGAATTTTCAAATCCTGCCGTGAATTTGAGAACAACAGTACGTTTTTTGAAAGAATCCGTTTTATGATGAGCATTGTTTTGTTTTTCTTGATCTCTTTGTTAATAATTTTGCTTAGGTTAGATCTACATCAAGCTTCTCAATGTTCCTTTTTTTGCCTTATTTACCCATTCTGACCAAATTATACTCCGATTTTGACCATTCTTAATACTACAAGGTCGTCGAGACGACTTAATGCGTTTCGTTTTTTCCTAAAGAGCATGGTTAATGAGCCTTAAAGCATGAGGACATGGAACAAATGAGCGCAAATGGAATTGAAGCAATTTCTGCGTATTCTAGAATCAAATAATCGAAATGGACATCTGAAAAAAACGCCGAAGAGATTAAAAGAGAACGGAATTTGACAGATGTTTTCCTTGTTCGATTCTTTATTTCTTCAGCAAAAAAAATTGATGGCTTTGTTGGGGACATAGAATAGAAAGCAAATGAAACTCGATAGGCCTTAATTTACGAAAAAAAAATGTCATCCCAAATATCTCAAATAGAAGTGCTGAAAGAGAAGCAACTTTTTTATTTTTGTAATACTATTGTGCGAAATGAAATGAGTCTTTATGTTTGTTCCATTTATCTTACAAACAAAGTAGGTAAGTAGATTTTTACAATTGCATTTGATTTATAGGGCAACGAATTTAGATTTTTTTGCCTATCTCTAACGAAATGAATAAACAATTTTTGCCTTCCTCATTCATCTTCATTCTTCGAACAAAATACGTAAATGGAATTTTCACTTGTGTTTTTTCCATGAGAACTTTTATTTTTCAACCTTTGTGCAATAACATAGATCTTTTTTTCTGTGTACAGCCACGATATTCAGAACGAAATTAACAACGCTTTTTCATTTTTCTCTCTATTGATCGGATGAAAAGCGGTTTAGGGGATTTTTGCTTTTTTATTATTATATTCTTTTTATGATCTCTTTGCACAGGAATGCGCAAATGTCTATGCTTTGATTTATGTTAGCGAAAAATTATTTCTAGTCTACCAATTTGTTTAATCTCTCAAATTCTTCCATTTCCTATCCCATTGTTCATTAGCTCAAAATTCCTGTTTCAATCGATTTCGTAACAATGATTTGTTCTCCGCGATTAGGACATCTGAATCCTATTAAACCCTCTTCCTTTTCTTGTTCCCGTCCGAATTCTTTCCCCAAAATGTCTCCCCCAAGTCCAGAACTGCGCCTAATCCTTTCCGAGATTGCGGTTCGGCTGCTTCTTCGGAACTGTCTCGAGGAATCAACGGGCCGGCCAGAGTTCTGTCAACAGACTCGATTTCGAATAAACAGCCTCTAAGCGCTCAGCGCCAGTCATCACTGTGTCGGCATCTGTTCTGTTCTATCGTAATCCCTACTACTGTAACCCCCATATCGGGTTACAGTAAGATCCCGGCTTAGACGCGCAGATTTCAAGTAGTGAACCAATTAATGACCTGTCATTAATGAGATTGACGGGCACGGGAGCTCGGATGAATGGCAAGGTGTGGTAGAGGAGCGAGGGGGTAAAGGTCCATTCATATTTCACCAGCTCCGTCTGCCACCGACACGTAATTCGCTCGCGTAACCACTGTAATTACGGACAGCAGGGTGTAGCTGAGGTTTATTGAGCTATTAATGGTTTTCTTTGAATATGCATGACTTTTTCTAAAGAAAAGACATTTTGGTGATTTGTAGACAAGTACATTGTTCTAAATTGAATTTGTCGTTCACTTCACTTTCTTTATGAATTTTAATGTTTTTAGCTTGCAAAAACACTTGAATGCTCTACAACTCACCATAATTCTTAGGTTTTATTGGTACTTTTATGACTGCTAGTATTGCAATGAATTACGGAAAAGCATTCAGCTGACATAATCTACTGTCGCAAAAGTGCACTTTTTGATGCTGGTTAGTAAATTGTCTTGCTAAATCTTACTATGTGCTCAATTATTTTACAAGGACATCTTGAAAGACTCCAAAAGCATTGCTTAAATGACTTTTTCCGGCAGAATCTCACCTTGTACTGGTGATTAGTTTTAAGATGATATTGTGATTGAATTATTCATCTGAAAACTCTACAAAAACCTAAAAATACCAGGTCTGGCAATAAATAAGCTCGATTTGACATGCTCGAAATTCCATATCAATTCGAATAGCAGCTAATCATCTAAATTTTTTTTGTAAGGAGGTATCTTCAAGCCTCTAGTCTCAAATATCAAGAAGTCAGAATTTTTTTCCAAAAGTGATAGTAGTGCCCTTACTCAGACAATTGTATCGGGAAGTTCGCGGGTGCTTGTTCGACCACCAATCATCCATGCCGCGAGCTGCCCGGTAAACCCATGTATTAGACCCGATAAGTGACCGCGGCGCATCCTGTAAGAGCTCAGACAATTGTATCGGGAAGTTCGCGGGTGCTTGTTCGACCACCAATCATCCATGCCGCGAGCTGCCCGGTAAACCCATGTATTAGACCCGATAAGTGACCGCGGCGCATCCTGTAAGAGCCCGTTAGGCGCCTATAGTTGACCCGATTAGCATGCTTGTAAGACCTAGGAAGAGTGAAGAACTATTTAGTCTGTCCTTCACAATGACGGACTTGAATGCAAACTGAGCAACTTGTTAGCTCATCTGTCGACATCATCTAGTGTCGTCGATAACACTCAACCGACAGCTGAGTATATTTCATGATCATGAGGACTCGATTCTGTCAGACAGGACCAAACCGAGCAGCGATATCCAACTTCATGAACACTTAGGGTAGCCCTATCGCTGCGGCGTACCTCACGCGGGTTGCGCCTTATCCTACAT